GCGCGGGGGGGTCCGATGGGGGGTGGAAATATGCTGCACGTAATACGCAATGGCAGATATTTCAACAATTGCAGTCCAAAGGCATTGCAACAGTGTGGCAAAGTCACCACAATGAGAAGTGTGTATAATGTGATATGTGTCGAACGACCATGCGGGAAATAGGCTCGCCTTCTCAATGCAGGGTATCACGCTTCAGGGTGTCGGGCACACTTCTACGACTTTTGAAACCCCCCACAGCGTTGCAAAATAATTGAGGAGCATGTCACTGATCTGATCGTTCATGAACGGGAGGAAGTGCTTTTCATCCCAGTACGCTGGCATGTTGGCTGCGATTGCAGCGCCTGAGACTTCTCGGAGATTGAGAACCTCCCAACCGCATCGACGCGCCACGCGTGTCAGATTTTGATGCAGATCCACCATCGCCTTCGCTTGCGGGGTGTCGTGGTATTGTGTGCGCCAGACTAGCTTTGTCTTGCCACCACCCAACGTCGGCTGTTCCTGCTTCGCTCGACACAGGACGTCCGACCAATAAGCAGTCTGGTTGTCTCCGCCCCAAGCGCCATGATTGAGGATCACCAGGTCGGTCCCTGCCCGCATTACTGTCCTCAACATCTCCAACTCGTGTGTCGCATTTGTTGCACCATACAGTGGATAGAAACGGATTGCGAAGCTCCCTTGCCGCGTTGCCATGTTGAAAGCCATAACGTTGCATGGCGGGTCGAAGCAGCTCTCGGAGGAATTTAAGCAGCTTGACGTGATACCCACTGTCTTGGTGTATTCTCTACCCAAGATGATATTCGTGTTCTGGGTGTCCGTTGCATACTTGGGATGCAGGTACTGTACCTGGTGGTTGAGGCTTGGCTGCGTGTCAGGTGTGCCCGCGTACCGCTCCATCAGCTGCCCAGTTGCAAGGAAGGCTGCAAGGTTCATCATCTGATATCGTGTCAGGGAGTCCCCATACAACACAAGGGTCTTGTTCATGAGTATTCCCCGTGCCTGAGAGGCTGTGTAGCGCCGCAAGCGGCACCCACATGGCTCAAAGAGGTACTCCCCAGTTGCATCCATGTAGAAGGAACCTGCCAGGTTACTTTGCGTTGTTATCTTGCACCACTTCCTGCCGTCGGTGACACTATGAGGAGGCACAATTGCCTTGGTCAAGTTCAAGTAGTACAAGCCAGACTTGTTTGTGGGGGCATGTCTTGGCTTGGTTGACGTTACGAATTCTGGTACGACTGGTGCTGCCACGCTGGCGGCTGATGGTGTGCTGTGGACTTGCACAACTATCGGTGCTACTGGTGCCTGCTGCTGTGGACGTGATGGCATCATTGCAATGATGTACAGTAAAGAAATACCCAGCGCTCCAGCGTAGAAGTGTATCAAACGCATTTGTCCAATGCCAGTACTACTTCCCTGGTGCGACCTTGCACCCGCGGGCAGGATCGCCATAGCTTGCGGCTTCACAATCCCACTTTGAACGAAGGAATCAGCTGAGCTGCGAGGCCAGCGTCGCGTTGCTCTTGTTGGGGTCTGTCCGACGTGGGTACTCTGCGGTGATCTAAGTCGCGCTGGTGGTTAAATGCGCTAAGTTTATAGCGCTGTTGAGAGTTGACGGGTTGCAAAGCTTCCACTCAAACTAACCAACTTCCCTTGCTCTCGCAAGCGTGCGAAGGACGCCAAGAAGATCTGTGGGTGCCGATCCTGAGGCGGTGGCTACTCCAAACGCCAGTTTTGTCTGCCATTTCATTGCCCACCACGCCCATATGAGAGGCAACTTTGTACAGTTGAAATGTGTGTGGGCTTTGCTTCACAATTTCAAATATGGTGTGCAACAGTGTTCGATAGCCGTGCCTCATCACGTCACGCAGCGCTGCTATCATGTACAGGCGATCATCTAAAGGCATGACTGGCTGTCCGAAATGATGTGCAAGTAGCCACGGCGTATGGCACGGTAGAGTGCTGACAGCTCACATTGATACACATTAAAACGTGGCGAGCGGCATGCGTTCAAGAGTTGGTTTGTGCTCGGCTGCGTCCACAGTCGGCATGCAGGAACCCGGCGGATTCTGGAGTGACGACCCCAACAGGCCCAGACAAGTCAAACAGCCCGCTGCAGGGCTACAAACAACTGGCAGAGCGCTGGCCGCACGGGGCACCCCCAAAACATTTCACCCCTAAACGTGGATATTGGGCGCAAACAAACCATTGCTGCACGCCCTGGAGCAGTCGAGGGAAAACAACAGCAGCTTGCAACTCCGTGCCTACCTTGCGTGAGAGGGCGCTTAATCCCACACATTTGTACAAACGTCCCACAAACATTGTGCTTCACGTTATGCCGTCTACGCACATGCCTGTATACTGCCAAGAACACTAGCATTGCAGGTGACTGTTGGCGCCCTGTCAATGTGTGCGCTGTATGTCCCGCCCCAAGGCTGCGTGTAATTGAATCTGTGGGCTCCCTCACCATGGTTGTGCTGCCGTGTCCCCCTGCTCTGCCCTTGCACTGTGGTGATGTGTCGCCACGCTGTGGGGTGTTGTGCTGATTCCCGCAAGTGTGCTGATCTGAAGCAAGTGCGTCGCAAGGGGATTGTCTTACAGTTGAGGCCATTCTTAGGTCTCCTGCGTGACACGTGCTTGCAGGTATGGAGGCAAAGGCCTGTACCGCTTCCAAGAAGAGAATGAGATGTCAAGTATTTGAATGCAAAACACGTGAATCGGCAGGGCCAGCCAGTGAGGATCAGGTTGTTGACAGCTCCAACAAATTCAACGGCTTTGACAAGCAGGTGTCAGCAGGTGGCTCACGCAGAGCAATGGCTGCTCGAATCCCGGCAATGGCAGTTGCGTAGACGGGTTGGCAGTGCGAGGGATGGGCAATGTGTGTATCCAGGGTCGAGGGCGGTGAGGACGGCCAACGTCTCAATTGGGTGCAACAGGGTTGGATGATGGGCGGCCCCAGACGCACGCGTGCGCGCAGAGAACCTCCAATTCTGGCATGCATTCGATCACGAGTAAGGATCCAGGGGAAGCTGCATACGTCCAGGTGCGTCATGGAGTTGACTAGCATGCTAGCCGAGGCCGCACGTTCCCGCAATCACCGCGCGTGCGAGGGCCTCGTACCAGTCGCCCCGCATGTGCACGCCGTCGACATTCAGGTCAAGCCGCGCCCCAGTGGGTGAGAACAGATCAAACGCCCCGTACCACGCGGCGTGGCCCGACCTCGCCGACGCGTTTGGCGCCAAGGCCGTCCGCTCGACAAAGGGCGCGATGGCCTGCCGCATGGCGTCGTTCATCATGCGCATGCACGCCGGCGAGGTGACGTTCCGCCACGCCTCGGGCTGCTTCGCGCCGTTGGGGTGCGGGGCCTCCCAAAAGTGGACGCTGGTGCCGTTCAGCAGCGTCGCATTGAGCAGGTCGACAAACCACGACAGGTCGCGGCGGTGGTCGGCCGGCGAGCGGCGCGAGCAGTCGTGCATGTTTTGAAAGATGTGGATGTGATCCGGCGGCGGCTGCCGCTGCCTGAGGTAGCCCTCAAACAAGAACTGCTGCGAGCTCCAAAACCACTTGCAGGGGGGTAGCTGGCCGTGTCTGCAGTTGCCATCAAAGTGCATGCGCGGCGCTGTGGTCAGCTCGGAGTCCAGCGTGAACGCAAGCCGCAGATATTCGATTTCCACGCTGTTGATTGCGCTTTTGCATGTGGCACGGAAGCTGTCGCAGCCGCTGCACGACAGCCGGCCGGTAACGGTGTACGATACATTATAGTATGCGGCCCTCAAGTGGGCCTCGTCGGCCGTCATGGTGCAGATGACGCCCCCTAGCCTGCTGATCACGTACAGCATGTAGCGCATTAGCCTGTACGCCTGGGAGTCACCCATGACGACGATGCGCCGCATCGGGGGCGGGTTGTTTTGGAAGAGGCACGCCCCGGAGCCGCTATCGCAGCCCGGGGCGAGCTTGAACACATCCCCATACCCGGTCTGGGACTTGTTGGCCCACGTGATAGATTGCGGGTAGGAGCCGTTGCAGAGCTGGTGCTGGTTCGCCTGAGCAAAAGTGCAGGCACGCTGAGGCTGGCTGCACAGGGCAGCAAATTTTGAGTCCGGCTGGCCTCTGTTCAGCCCGCCTGTGCGAATTGACATGAATTGAACAGTCACATGCTGCCGTATTGCAGCAGCTATGCGTCCATCGTCCAGCAACAGCACCACAGCCGCGCCTATCAGGATGCCGAGGGTGACGCCGAGCACATGGCGTGCACATTGATAATTTGTTGGACGTGCTAATTCAGCCATGCTTGCACGCTGGTGGCCGGCACCCTTGGTCGTTCCTGGTGTGTGTGTGTGTGTGTGTGTGTGTGTGTGTGTGTGTGTGTGTGTGTGTGTGCGCGCATGCGTGCGCACGCGTGCAGGCGCATGACTTTGTGTGTCTGTCTGCAAGGATCGCACGCGATGTGGTGTCGTGCGCATATGCGTGCGCATATACAGATGCATGTGTCTGCAATCGGTTCGTGGTTGCAATGCTTCGAGATTGTGTCTCCAGTTGTGTTGCTTGACTCTGCCTACTAGTCGCTCCACGGCAGTTGCGATGATATGGGGGCAAGAGCCGGTCAGGTTGGCTGATGGGGCTGTCTGTCGCTGCTGCTGGTGGTGCCCCTGCTGCCCCAAACCGCAGCGCGATCCGCTCTCTCACTTGTGCGTTGTTCGTTGTGATGGCCTGTGCTGTTATCCAACAAGACGTGTGTGCGCGGCCCTCAGCTCACCCACCTCATGCGCCCTGCGCTGTGGTGGCAAGAGGGAGGATAGTGGGCTGCTCGCAGGTTGCCCTTGGCTGGATCCTTGGATGTACGCCTTGTGCGTGCAGGCTTTGCACGGCTGCATGCAGAGATGCTGTATGTGCCCATGCACGCAGCTAGGGGACTGACGAGAAAATGGGTGCCACATGCTTGTATGCGCAGGACCAAACCCGATCTGGTGTGGGCGGGCACGCCTGCGGCCACAAGCGGGGGTACAAGACTGGTGCCGCAGCTGCTGGTGTGCCATCACAGCCGGAACCCCACATCAATGTCCTGCTGCCGCCCTGGGACCGCCTCACCTGCGCGTCTGGGTTCCAAAGGGCGAGCGCAGCAAGCGGCGCTTCCCAGCACAGCCAGGAGCCCTACCGAACAACCACGGCTCTGATGCAGGCTGATGATGCAGCTAGTCCTTTTGTTTGGGGTTTTTTACGAGCCGCTGATCAGCCTTTGCAGACTGGCTTCGACACACAACACGTTGGGATCCTGCTGGTGCTGGTGCTACGCTGTAATTATTGCCAGTTGAGACTTTGGCCAGTCAACCAAGATCACAGCAGCATGACTCATGGCCTATGGGCGACCCAACCGGGCGCCGCGCCGCACTTACATAAATTCAGGGAGGGCCCCGCCGCCCGGCCCGCCGCGCCCAACGGGCTTGATAATCCTGAACTTGTTTCCCAGGGCCATGACAGGAAGGGGCGGGCGTGTTCGGGGTCCCGCATAACTCCGCGAGTCCTCGCACCTCCGTCAGCACAACGCCCGGCCACCGCGGTACTCATTTGATATTTTGTATAGATTTTGTAACTTGTTTCAAATGCCACAGCTCACGGAAGGCGTGTTCGGGGGAACGCACCACTCCAGGCCGCGGGCTCGCACCCCGGCCCGCTTGCGGCGCATCGCCCACATCTGCCAACCCCATGGTTGAAGCCTGGCGTTGAGGGCTGTATGAATTGCTCGAGGGCTTTGCTTAACCACCCACCCATGAGCCGGCACAACAAAACAGCCACGCAGCGGTTGGTGCAGTATGCGGTCACCAAGCACAAAAGCGCTGCTCCTAGGCACATGCTGGAAGGGGCTGCATGACAGCGCCATGCTGTGTCAGCTACTACTGGCAAGCATGGGCGGGATACGGCGCACAAACATAGGCGTGCGGAGCCTGCGCAGCGACCACGTCCGCGGGGAATGCCTCGTGAAATTTTCAAGTCGGCGCTCGCCCAATGCGTACAGGTTGTCGCGCGTGGTGATGCGTTTGAGCATACATAAGCATTAGCGGGGATGAAGGCACGTTGGATGTGCAGGGCGGTGGTCCAGGAGAGGGTCGCACCCCGTGCGTGTGTGCGTGCGCGGTCATGGCGTGACCCAGCACAAAGGCGAAGGTGCGGTTGTTGTGCAAGCGACTGTCATGGGCAGCCGACTCAGTCGCTAAACGCACCACACGGCCGCTGCCCAGCCGCACGGACATACTGTAGCCACGACGGAGGGCTTCTCTACGAGCGCGTCTTGCGGGATGGACGGCTGCCCCTCTTAGATGCCACCCACCATGCCTTGACCGCTTTTGCGTGACTGCCGTCGTGTCTTTGCTCGTAGCAGAATTGAGCTTGACCAGATTGGACCCCCCATCCCACTGGGAGGGAAGTTTTTGAGCGACACACACAGCAGCACAAGCCACGCAAGGCAAAGTGCTACACAATCTCAACTGGCCTTCATAGTTATTGCCAGTTGAGACTTTGCTCGATCAACCAAGATCACAAGCAGGCACAGCATGACTCATGGCCTGGCCCTTGGGGGACCCAACCAGGCGCCGCGCCGCGAGATTTGTTTACTCGAGGAGGGCCCTGAAGCCCGGGGCGCCGAGACCATTGAGCTTCTAAATTCTGTTTTAGTAGTTCAGGATCATCACAGGCAGGAACGGCCGTGGTCGGGGCCCCGCATAACTCCGCGGGGCCTTGCCCCTCCGTCAGCAAGACGCTTGTCAGCGCGAAGCCTGGCCTCCGTTAGGCTCGCAGTATGGTTTTGATATCATGAAATAATTCCTTGACCTGAGCACAAATCCGTCAAACGGTCGCAAGGCCCTGTCAGCTTTTTGCAGCGGCTCCGTCTGCGGCGCACTGGCCCTATTTGCCCCTGGCAGCCAACGCCCCTTTGTCAAAGCCTGGCTCTGGATGCTGTGGGACACGCGTACGACAGTGCTGCGATGCTTTGCTGCCGCACTCCGCTCGGGGTGAGCTGGCCCAATAGCACCAGCCACGCTGCTGTCACACCCATGCGGTAGGACACGGTGACCTAAGCTGATGCGCTGCTAAGGCACAGGGCGAAGGGAGATGGTGTGACAGCAACTTATCTGATGCGCGGGCCAGGAGGCGGATGCACAGTTTTAGGCGCGCGTGGGCCGCGCGGCTGCCCCGTCGGCACCAAATGCGGCCTCATGCACAGACAAGGAATCGGCGGGCGTCAGCTTGCCGAACACGTACAAGTTGCTGCGGCTGAGCATGACATAAACAATGG